GGTCAGGCCAGCCAATGGGTGTTGGTATATATTGCAGGGCCCAGTTTCCCCGCCCCTTTCCTGTGTCCTCATTGGCTGAAGCGACAGAAGGGGCGGGCTCTTGTGGCTTGGGGGAGAGACAACTGGCGGGTTCTGCCTAGTGGGCGTGTGCGGGGCGCGACCTTGTAAGGGACAGCTGTCCCGGCCAATGGGTGCTCGTATAGCATGGCCGGGCCCGGTGGCAAAGCTTCTTACGTGTGTGTTGATTGGCTTAAGCGAGGGAATGGGCGGGCTCTTCCGGCTTGGGAGAGAGAAGGGGCGGGTCCTGTCAAGTGGGACTTATAAGCGGCAGTCGGGCCGCCCAATGGGTGTTTGTATAGCAGGGCCGGATCGTGTGGTCCCGCCCATTGTGTGTGTGTTGATTGGCTTAAGCGAGAGAAAGGGCGGGCTCTTCCGGCTTGGGAGAGAGAAGGGACCGGTTCTGTCAAGTGGGGCTTCTAAGCGGGGGTGGGGCCGCCCAATGGGTGTTTGTATAGCAGGGCCGGTCCCAGTAGCTCCGCCCCTTGCGTGTGTGCTGATTGGCTTGGTAGAGAAAAGGGGCGGGCACTTCTCGCTTGGGTGAGAGAAGGGGAGGGTTCTGCCTAGTGGGGGTGTGCGGGGCGCGACCTCGTGAGCGACTGCTGACCCGGCCAATGGGTGTTCCTATAGCAGGGCAGGGCCAGGTGGCGCCGCCCCTTGTATGCTTGCTGATTGGCTTGGGCCAGAGAAGGGGCGGGTTCTATCTTGTGGGGCCGGGCCCTGTGTCACCGTCCCACCCTGGTCTCTGTTGATTGGCTGCCACGAGAGAAGGGGCGGGTTCTATCTAGTGTCGGTGGGCTGGGCGATATATTGTAAGTGATGGCCGGGCTGACCAATGGTTGCTCGTATAGCAGGGCCAGGCCCTGTGGCGCCGCCCCTTGCCTTTGTGCTAATTGGCTTAGGAGAGAGAAGAGGCGGGTTCTAGCTTGTGGGGCCGGGCCCTGTGTCACCATCCCACCCTGGTCTCTGTTCATTGGCTGCCACGAGAGAAGGGGCGGGTTCTATCTCGTGGGGGTGTGTGTGATGGGTGGGACCACGTAAACGGCAGCCAGGCCGGCCAATGGGTGCCTTCGACACCGCCTCTTCCTTCTCTGCTGATTGGCTAGGACGAGAGAGGGGGCGGCTTCTATCTAGTGGGGGGTGTGAGGGGTGGGACCACGTAAACGGCAGCCAGGCCGGCCAATGGGTGCCTTCGACACCGCCTCTTCCTTCTCTGCTGATTGGCTACGACGAGAGAAGGGGCGGGTTCTATCTAGTGGGGGGTGTGTGAGGGGTGGGACCTCGTAAACGGCAGCCAGGCCGGCCAATGGGTGCTCACAATAGCAGAGCCGGCACCGCCCCTCTGGTATCTGCTTATTGGATGACACAGAGGGCGGGCCCCAGCCCGTGGGCGTGGCTAGGGGCGTGGCCAGGCGGGGTTGTGGATGGGGAGCCAAGACCTGGGCTCAGGCGAGCCTCCAGCCTGGGCCTCCCTCCCGAGTAGCCGGGACTCCAGGCGTGAGCCTCCACGCCCGGCTCACTTTTTCTATATATATTTTTAGTTGTCCAGCTCATTTCTTTCTATTTTTTATTAGTAGAGACGGGGTCTCGCTCTTGCTCAGGGCTGGCCTCCACCTCCCGGCCTCCAGCGAGCCTCCTCCCTCGGCCTCCCTCCCGAGTAGCTGGGACAACAGGCATGCGCCTCCACGCCCGGCTCGTTTTTTTCCTATATATTTTTAGTTGGCCAATTAATTTCTTTCTATTTTTAGCAGAGACGGGGTCTCGCTCTTGCTCAGGCCGGCCTCCAACTCCTGGCCTCCAGCGATCCTCCTGCCTCGGCCTCCCTCCCCGAGTAGCTGGGACTACAGGCATGCGCCACCACGCCCGGCTCGTTTTTTTCTATATATATTTTTAGTTGGCCAATTAATTTCTTTCTATTTTTATAGTAGAGACGGGGTCTCGCTCTTGCTCAGGCTGGCCTCCAACTCCTGGCCTCCAGCGAGCCTCCCTCCTCGGCCTCCCAGAGTTGCCGGGATGACAGGCGTGAGCCACCGAGCCCGGCCTGTCTGTCTGATTTTAAAACGTCTGTGATGATATTTGGGGGGATTTAGGGTGAACAGATCTGCCTCCGCCTGTGGACGTGAATGTGGATACGATGACCCATTCGGATTCTTCCTCTCCCCATATGTCGATTTGTTTCGTTTTTTAAATGCGGGGCTCGCGCCTAGTCGTCCCAGCACTCTGGGAGGCCGAGGAGGGAGGATCGCTGGAGGTCAGGAAGTGGAGGCCAGCCCTGAGCAAGAGCGAGACCCCGTCTCTACTAAAAAAACTAGAAAGAAATTAATTGGCCAACTAAAAATATATAGAAAAAAAACGAGCCGGGTGTGGTGGCGCATGCCTGTCGTCCCAGCTACTCGGGAGGGAGGCCGAGGCAGGAGGCTCGCTCGAGGTCGGGAGTTCGAAACCAGCCTGAGCCAGAGCGAGACCCCGTCTCTACTATAAAAAAAGAAAGAAATTAATTGGCCAACTAATATATATAGAAAAAAAACGAGCCGGGCGTGGTGGCGCGTGCCTGTAGTCCCAGCTCCTCGGGAGGGAGGCCGAGGCGGGAGGCTCGCTCGAGGTCAGGAGTCCGAGGCCAGCCTGAGCAAGAGCGAGACCCCGTCTCTACTAAAAAATAGAAATTAATTGCCCAACTAATATACATATATAGAAAAAAAATGAGCCGGGCGTGGTGGCGCATGCCTGTCGTCCCAGCTACTCGGGAGGGAGGCCGAGGCGGGAGGCTCGCTGGAGGCCAGGAGCTGGAGGCTGCCATGAGCGAGGCTGACGCCACGGCACTCACTCTAGCCTGGGCAAAAAAAAAAAAAAGGAGACTCTTGTGTCCAAAAGAAAAATAAAGAAATCAATAGGCCACATATAATCCTGTCGTTTGCTTGAACTGAAGAAAGACAGCACCAAGCTAGCCCGACTTTCTCGAAAATCAAAAATTTGAGGTTTGAACTCAAATTAAACAGGTTTAAACTCCGTTTCGGCGTAGATTTTGCATGTTTGGCCTTCCACAGACCAAGCGACCGACTCACGGAACGAAATCATCGCAGAATTGCCGCCTTTTCCGTCGGTTTCCAAAGCTACGATCAGGCGTGGCCAAGAAAATGTCCAGCCTCCACCACTGGAAATCCTGGCAGACAGAACGTTTGCATGGATAATTATTTCATCTAAGGAGACTCCTTAAAAATGAAGTGCCTGACATAGAGACTGAAGGTTAATGAAAAAGTAAAAAAAAAAAAAAAAAAAAGGAAAAGAGATTGAAAATTAAAAAGGAAAAAAAAAACAATAATGGAAAAAATGACCGTCACCGAAGTCTGAAAAAGAGCGACAGTCAGGGTTTTACTGAATTCGTTTGTTTCTGGGGTCTACACTTGATGCCTTGAGCTGCTCTTGCTCGGGGTTAGCCAAAGAGCTGACGGGAGGCCGGGCGCGGAGGCTCAGGCCTGTCATCCCGGCTCTCCGGGAGGCCGAGGCGGGAGGCTCGCTCGAGGTCGGGAGTTTGAAACCAGCCTGAGCAAGAGCGAGACCCGTCTCTACTATAAATAGAAAGAAATTAATTGGCCAACTGATATATATATAGAAAAAACGAGCCGGGCGTGGAGGCGCACGCCTGGAGTCCCAGCCTCTATTCGGGAGGGAGGCCGAGGTGGAGGGCTCGCTGGAGGCCAGGAGTCGGAGGCCGCTGTGAGCGAGGCTGAGGCCACGGCACTCACTCCAGCCCGGGCGACAGAGCGAGACTCAGTCTCAAAAAAAAAAAAAAAAAGAGCTGATGGTTTCATGAAAAAGCCAGGCGTCTCCCGACACCCGAAAACGACCTTATTCGTGGCTCTGAGAAGTCCCGTGCGCGGCGGCCCGGAGGTTTTGTTTCGTGGTCACGCCTGCACACGGGCCAGGAGCAGTCCCTGTGTGGGGCAGGCGTGTCACCGTCCCAGGGCTGTGGGAAAGTCCCCTCGCTCTGTTTCATTCTGTTCTGTTCTAGGGCTGTGGGAAAGTCCCCTCGTTTTATCTCATTTTATTTTATTCTATTCTATTACATTCTATTCTATTCTAGGGCTGCTGGAATGTTCTCTCATTTTATTTTATTTTATTCTATTCTATTCTACTCTATTATTTTGTGTTCTAGGGCTGCTGGAATGTTCTCTCATTTTATTTCACATTATTTTATTCTATTACATATTATTTTATTCTATTACATATTATTTTATTTTATTCTATTATTTTATTCTGTTAGAATAAAATTAATTTATTTTATTCTATTTTATTCTATTCTATTCTATTACATTCGATTCTATTCTAGGGCTGAGGGAATGTTCCCTCGTTTTATTTCATTTTATTTTATTCTATGCTAGTCTATTCTATTCTATTCTAGGGCTGCTGGAATGTCCTCTCATTTTATTTCATTTTATTCTGTCCTATTCTATTTTATTCTACTTCTTGAGACAGAGTCCGCTCTGTCGCCCGGGCTAGAGTGAGTGCCGTGGCGTCAGCCTCGCTCACGGCGGCCTCCGACTCCTGGCCTCCAGCAATGAGCCTCCCACCTCGGCCTCCCTCCCGAGTAGCTGGGACTCCAGGCACGCGCCTCCACGCCCGGCTACATTTTTTTCTATATATTATTATTTGGGCAATTAATTTCTTTCTACTTTTTTTTTTTTTTTAATAGAGACGGGGTCTCGCTCTTGCTCAGGCTGGTCTTGAAGTCCTAATCTCAAGCGATCCTCCCGCCTCGGCCTCCCTCCCAGGTAGCTGGGACGACAGGCGTGAGCCTCCGCGCCTAGGCTCATTTTTTTTATAGATTTTTAGTTGGCCAATTAATTTCTTTCTATTTTTTTTTTTAGTAGAGACGGGGTCTCGCTCTTGCTCAGGCTAGCCTCCAAGTCTTGGCCTCGAGCGATCCTCCCGCCTCGGCCTCCCAGTAGCTGGGACTATACTAGCATGTGCCACCACACACAGGTAATTTTTCATATATATTTTTACTTGTCCCAATAATTTCTATTTTTAGTGGAGACGGGGTCTTGCTCTTGCTCAGGCTGGCCTCCAACTCCTGACCTCGAGTGATCCTCCCGCCTCGGCCTCCCTCCCCGAGTAGCTGGGACTACAGGCATGCGCCTGCACGCCCGGCTCGTTTTTTTTTTCTATCTATTTTTACTTGTCCAGCTCATTTCTTTCTATTTTCAGTAGAGACGGGGTCTCGCTCTTGCTCAGGCCGGCCTCCAACTCCCGACCTCGAGCGATCCTCCCGCCTCGGCCTCCCTCCCGAGTAGCTGGGACTACGGGCGTGGGCCTCCGCGCCCGGCCTCAGTGACGCTGATCTTACGGCGTCTAAGTTTCAGCCTTCCTTGGCTTTGCTGGAAGGAAGAGCTGGACTTCCCCGTCACGGAGAAGTGACCAGGCTCTTGGCATTAGAAGGTTCTAGTCCTTTCTCTGCGCGAGGTTCGGCGTAAATGCTTAGGAAAGGCCAGCAGCCTCCTGTGGCCTCTTCTCTCCCTGATGAGGTTCTGGCACAAACAGGGTGGCCTTATTTTCCCACTGACCTGTCGCCACACTCCCTACCTAACGGTCCTTTAAAATAACTATAGAGGATGGGAGGCCGGGGAGGGAGGATCGCTGGAGGCCAGGAGTTTTTGAGCAAGAGCGAGACCCCTGTCTATACTAAAAAAAAAAAAAAAAAAATAGAAATCAGCCGGACGACTAAAAATATATATAGGAAAAACGGGCCGGGCGTGGTGGCCCATGCCTGGAGTCCCAGCTACTTGGGAGGGAGGCCGAGGCGGGAGGCTCGCTGGAGGCCAGGAGTTGGAGGCCAGCCTGAGCAAAAAGCGAGACCCCGTCTCTACTAAAAACAGAAAGAAATTAATTGGCCAACTAAAAAAAAAATATACAAAAAAACGAGCCGGGCGTGGTGGCGCGTGCCTGTAGTCCCAGCTACTCGGGAGGGAGGCTGAGGCGGGAGGATCGCTGGAGGTCAGGAGTTCGAAACCAGCCTGAGCAAAAAGCGAGACCCCGTCTCTACTAAAAATAGAAATTAGCCGGAAAGTAAAAATATATAGAAAAAATGAGCCGGGCATGGTGGCGCGTGCCTGTTGTCTCAGTACTCGGGAGGGAGGCTGAGGCAGGAGGCTCGCTGGAGGCCAGGAGTTCCTGAGCAAGAGTAAGACCCCCGTCTATACTATAAAAAAAAGTAGAAGTTAGCCAGACAACTAAAAATATATATAGAAAAAACGAGCCGGGCGTGGTGGCGCATGCCTTTCGTCCCAGCTACTCGGGAGGGAGGCTGAGGCAGGAGGATCACTCGAGGCCAGGAGTTGGAGGCCAGCCTGAGCAAGAGCGAGTTCCCGTCTGTACTTAAAAAAACAGAAAGAAATGAGCCGAACAACTAAAAATACATAGAAAAAAATTGGCCGGGCACGGAGGCTCACGCCTGTCGTCCCGGCACTCTGGGAGGCCGAGGTGGGAGGATCGCTCGAGGTCAGGAGTCCGAAACCAGCCTGAGCAAGAGCCAGACCCCGTCTCTACCATAAAAATAGAAATAAATCAATTGGCCAGCTAATATATATATATAGAAAAAAACGAGCCGGGCGTGGAGGCGCGTGCCTGTCGTCCCAGCCTCTACTCGGGAGGGAGGCCGAGGCAGGAGGCTCGCTCGAGCCTCGAAGCTGGAGGCCGCCGTGAGCGAGGCTGACGCCACGGCCCTCACTCCGGCCCGGGCGACAGAGCGAGACTCTGTTTCCGAAAAAAAAAATAAAGATAAAAAGACGAGGCCGGGGTGGGGGTGGGAGGCGCGGCCCTCGGCACCCCCCGGGCCTCCGTTGCGACCTGTCCCCCCGTCGCCCGCAGGTAGCCGGCTCGCTGACCCCTCGGCCGGAATCTCCAGGGATGACCAGCCCCTCTTCGCGCATCCAGATAATTTCCACGGATTCGGCCGTAGCCTCGCCCCAGCGCATCCAGGTACCCGTAGCCCCCTCCCCCGCCGGCCCCGAGACCTTTCTAGAAAAAAAAATCTTCCCTGGGTGGGGGGGTGGGGGGGCTCCCCTGATCACGCCCGGGTCGGCCAAGCTCGATCTCTGAAAAGTCGGAGGAAAGGCCCGGCGTGCGGGGGCTCGGGCCTGCCGTCCCGGCACTCTGGGAGGCCGAGGAGGGAGGATCGCTCGAGGGTCGGGAGTGTTGGAGGCCGGCCTGAGCAAGAGCGAGACCCTGTCTCTACTAAAAATAGAAAGAAATTAATTGGCCAACTGATATATATAGAAAAAACGAGCCGGGCGTGGTGGTGCATGCCTGTAGTCCCAGCTACTCGGGAGGGAGGCTGAGGCAGGAGGATCGCTGGAGGTCAGGAGTTGGAGGCCGGCCTGAGCAAGAGCAAGACCCCGTCTCTACTAAAAAATATACAAAGAAATGAGCTGGACAACTAATATATATAGAAAAAACGAGCCGGGCGTGGTGGCGCATGCCTGTCGTCCCAGCTACTCGGGAGGGAGGCTGAGGCAGGAGGATCGCTTGAGGCCGGAAGTTGGAGGCTGCTGTGAGCAAGGCTGACGCCTCAAAAAAAAAAAGAAAGAGTTTGCATTCATTGAACTTCCTTTTATTTATTTTTATTTGTTTTTTTGAGACAGAGTCTCGCTCTGTGGCCCGGGCTAGAGTGAGCGCCGTGGCGTCAGCCTCGCTCACAGCGGCCTCCGACTCCTGGCCTCAAGCGAGCCTCCCGCCTCAGCCTCCCTCTCGGGTAGCTGGGACGACAGGCATGCGCCTCCACGCCCGGCTCGTTTTTTTCCTCTGTATTTTTTTAGTTGGCCAATATTAATTTCTTTCTATTTTTTTAGTAGAGTCGGGGTCTCGCTCTTGCTCAGGCTGGCCTCCAACTCCTGACCTCGAGCGAGCCTCCCTCCTCAGCCTCCCTCCCGGGTAGCTGGGACTCCAGGCATGCGCCACCACGCCCGGCTCGTTTTTTCTCCATGTATTTTTAGTTGTCCAGCTCATTTGTTTTCTTTTTTTTTTTTTTTTAGTAAGACCGGGGTACTCCATCTTGCTCAGGCTGGCCTCCAACCCTGACTCCAGCGATCCCCCGCCTCGCCTCCTGAGTAGCTGGGACTACCAATTTCCAGTATATTTATGTCCAGTTCATTTCTTTCTATTTTTCCTTTTTTTTTAATATTGACGGGGTCTCACTCTTGCTCAGGGGGGCCTCCACCTCCTGACCTCGAGCGAGCCTCCCTCCTCGGCCTCCTCCCAGAGTGCCAGGACGACAGGCGTGGGCCTCCACGCCCGGCTCATTTTGTCTGTATATTTTTAGTTGTTTGGCAAATTCCTTTCTATTTTTAGTAGAGACGGGGTCTCGCTCTTGCTCAGGCTGGCCTCCAACACTCCTGACCTCCAGCGATCCTCCCTCCTCGGCCTCCTCCCTGAATGCCGGGATGACAGGCGTGAGCCTGCGCGCCCGGCTCATTTTTTCTATGTATTTTTGGCTGTCCAATTAATTTCTATTTTTTTTTTAGTAGAGACGGGGGTCTCACTCTTGCTCAGGCTGGCCTCCAACTCCTGACCTCCAGCGATCCTCCCGCCTCGGCCTCCTCCCAGAGTGCTGGGACGACAGCCGTGGGCCTCCACGCCCGGCTCATTTTTTCTGTATATTTTTAGTTGTTTGGCAAATTCCTTTCTATTTTTAGTAGAGACGGGGTCTCGCTCTTGCTCAGGCTGGCCTCCACCTCCTGACCTCGAGCGATCCTCCCGCCTCGGCCTCCCTCCCAGAGTGCCGGATTGACAGGCGTGAGCCTCCACGCCCGGCTCATTTTTTCTGTATATTTTTAGTTGTTTGGCAAATTCCTTTCTATTTTTAGTAGAGACGGGGTCTCGCTGTTGCTCAGGCTGGCCTCGAACACTCCTGACCTCGAGCGATCCTCCCGCCTCGGCCTCCCTCCCAGAGTGCCGGATTGACAGGCGTGAGCCTCCACGCCCGGCTCATTTTTTCTATATATTTTTACTTGGGCAATTAATTTCTTTCTATTTATAGTAGAGACGGGGTCTCGCTCTTGCTCAGGCTGGCCTCCAACTCCTGACCTCCAGCGAGCCTCCCGCCTCGGCCTCCTGAGTAGCTGGGACTACCAATTTTTCCAGTATATTTTTAGTTGTCCAGCTCATTTCTTTCTATTTTTTTTTTTTTTTAAATATTGACGGGGTCTCGCTCTTGCTCAGCCTGGCCCCCACCTCCTGACCTCGAGCGAGCCTCCCTCCTCGGCCTCCTCCCAGAGTGCCAGGACGACAGGCGTGGGCCTCCACGCCCGGCTCATTTTTTCTATATATTTTTACTTGGTCCATTAATTTCTTTCTATTTATAGTAGAGACGGGGTCTCGCTCTTGCTCAGGCCGGCCTCCACCTCCTGACCTCGAGCGATCCTCCCGCCTCGGCCTCCCTCCCCGAGTGCCGACGCGCTCTCAGTTTACCGTCCTTTCCCCGGGGTGCCCCGCGCCACCTCCCCGTCCCCTTGTCCGGGCCGGGCGCCGACCGGAGGTCCCCGTGCCTGGCAGATCCTGAGCGAGCAGCAGGCGGGCCAGAAGATCCAGATCGTGACGGCGGTGGACGCGTCGGGCTCGGCCAAGCAGCAGTTCCTCCTCGCGAGTCCCGATGGAGCCGGCGCCGGCAAGGTGATCCTGGCCGCGCCCGAGCCGGCCAGCGCCAAGCAGCTCATCTTGGCCACCGCCGACGCCCTCGTGCCCGGCCGCATCCAGGTGCCGCCCACCGCCGCCCCACCCGCCTCCCCGCCCGGCCTCCTGCCCGGCCCGGCCTCCTTCCCGGCCCGGCCTCCCTGCCCGGCCTCCTTCCCTTCCCGGCCTCTGCCTGGCCTCCTTCCTGTCCCGGCCTCCTTCCCGGCCCGTCCTCTGCTCGGCCTCCTTCCCGTCCCAGCCTCCGCCCGGTCTCCTTCCCGACGTCATTCCCGGCCCAGCCTCTTCCCGGCCAGGCCTCCTTCCCTGCCCGGCCTCCTTCCCTTCCCGGCCTCCTTCCTGTCTCGGCCTCCTGCCCGGCCTCCCGCCCGGCCTCCTGCCCGGCCTCCTGCCCGGCCCGGCCTCCTTCCCTTCCCGGCCTCCCTGCCCGGCCTCCTTCCCGTCCCAGCCTCTTCTCAGCCTCCTTCCCGGCCCAGCCTCCTTCCCTTCCCGGCCTCTGCTCGGCCTCCTTCCCGTCCCAGCCTCCGCCCGGCCTCCTTCCCGACGTCATTCCCGGCCCAGCCTCTTCCCGGCCAGGCCTCCTTCCCTTCCCAGCCTCTGCTCGGCCTCCTTCCCGTCCCAGCCTCTTCCCAGCCTCCGCCCGGCCTGGCCTCTTCCTGGCCTCCTTCCCAGCCTCTTCCTGTCCCAGCCTCCTTCCCGGCCCGGCCTCTGACCAGCCTCCTTGCTGGCCCGACCTCTTCCCGGTCTCATTCCCGTCCCGGCCTCCGCCCGGCCTCCTTCCCTTCCTGGCTTCCTTCCTGTCCCAGCCTCTTCCCGGCCTCCTTCCCAGCCTGGCCTCCTTCCTGTCCCGGCCTCCTTCCCGGCCTCTGCCCGGCCTCCGTCCCTTCCTGGCCTCCTTCCTGTCTCAGCCTCCTTCCCAGCCCGGCCTCCTTCCCGTCCTGGCCTCCTTCCCATCCCGGCCTCTTCTCAGCCTCCTTCCTGTCCTGGCCTCCCTCCCTTCCCAGCCTCTTCCCGGCCTCCGTCCCTTCCTGGCCTCCTTCCTGTCTCAGCCTCCTTCCCAGCCCGGCCTCCTTCCCGTCCTGGCCTCCTTCCCGTCCCGGCCTCTTCCCGGCCTCCTTCCCGGCCCGGCCTCTTCCCGGCCTCCTTCCCGGCCTGGCCTCTGCCCGGCCTCCTGCCCATCCTGGCCTCTTCCCTCCTGCCTCCTTCCTATCCCAGCCTCTTTGCGGCCTCCTTCCCTTTCAGGCCTCTGCCCGGGCTCCTTCCCTTCCCGGCCTCTTCCCGGCCTCCTTCCCTTCCTGACCCCCTTTCCGGCCTCCTTCCCTGCCCGGCCTCCTTCCCTTCCCGACCTCCTTCCTGGCGTCCTTCCCTGCCCGGCCTCCTTCCCGTCCCGTCCTCCTTCCCGGCCTCATTCCCGTCCCGGCCTTCTTCCCGTTGCGGCCTCTGCCCGGCCTCCTTCCCTTCCCGGCCTCCTTCCCTTCCTGGCCTCTTCCTGGCCTCCTTCCCATCCTGGCCTCTGCCCGGCCTCCTTCCCTTCCTGGACTCTTCCCTGCCCGGCCTCTTCCCTTCCCGGCCTCCTTCCCTTCCCGGACTCTTCCCTCCTGCCTCCTTCCCTTCCAGGCCTCCTTCCCGGCCCGGCCTCTTCCTGGCCTCCTTCCTCTCTGTCCTTTTCCCCTTCCTTGTTCCTTTCCTTTGCTTTCTATTCTTTTCCTTTCCTTTATGTTTTTTTCTTTTCTTTCTTTTCTTTTCGTTTCGTTTCCTTTCTTTTTGTTTCCTTTACCCTTTCCTTTTTACTTTTGTTTCGTTTTCTTTCCTTTCCTTTCCTCTTTGCTTTCCTTTCTTCCCTCAATCTGTCCCCCAGGCTAGAGTGAGCGCCGTGGCGTCAGCCTCGCTCACAGCAGCCTCCAACTCCTGGCCTCCAGCGAGCCTCCTGCCTCGGCCTCCCTCCCGAGTAGCTGGGACGACAGGCACGCGCCACCACGCCCAGCTAATTATTATTACTTTTTTCTATATATTTTTAGTTGTCCAGCTCATTTCTTTCTATTTTTTTTAGTAGAGATGGGGTCTCGCTCTTGGACTCAGGCTGGTTTTGAACTCCTGACCTCTAGCGAGCCTCCCGCCTCGGCCTCCCTCCCGGGTAGCTGGGACGACAGGCACGCGCCACCACACCCAGCTCATTTTTTTTTTCTATTTATTTTTAGTTGTCCAGCTCATTTCTATTTTTTTTTTTTTTTTTTTTTAGTAAAAGTCGGGCTCTTGCTCACATTGGTCTCCAACTGCTGACCTCGAGCGAGCCTCCCGCCTCGGCCTCCCTCCCGAGTAGCTGGGACGACAGGCATGCGCCACCACGCCCGGCTCGTTTTATCTATATATACATTTTTTGGTTGTCCGGCTGATTTGTTTCCATTTTTTTAGTAGAGACGGGGTCTCGCTCTTGCTCAGGCCGGCCTCGACCTCCCGGCCTCGAGCGAGCCTCCCACCTCGGCCTCCCAGAGCGCTGGGATAATTTCTTCTGTATATTTTTAGTGGTCCAGCTGATTTGTTTCTGTTTTTCTCAATAGAGGACCAGAGGGTGTCGCTCTTGCTCAGGCCGGCCTCGACCTCCCGGCCTCGAGCGATCCTCCCTCCTCGGCCTCCCTCCCGAGTAGCTGCGACCACAGGCGTGAGCCTCTGCGCCCGGCCTCCATATATATATATATATATCCTTTTATTCTCTTCCCTTATCCTCTCTGGCGACCCGTATCTAAGGGACTTGGCTCCGTAATAATAATAATAATAATAATAATAATTAAAAAAATCAGCCTTTGTCCTCGCGGGCCGGCCTCCACTCCTCCTCCGCGGAGGCAGTGGGGGCCGGAGGGGGGGGGGTCCGTCCGGTGGCGAAATCGCCTTCTGGAATCTTCCCCGTCCCGCCCGGGGCTCCCGGGGCCGAGACCCGGGAATGGGAGGGGGGAGGTTGAGGCCGGGCGTGGCCTCGCTGACCCCGCGCCCCCCAACTTCCCTCAGATCGTCACGGATTCCGCCTCCGTGGAGCGCCTGCTGGGCAAGGCGGACGCGCCGCGGCCCCAGGTGGTGGAGTACTGCGTGGTGTGCGGGGACAAGGCCTCCGGTAGGTAGCCCGGCCTCCACCCCCGGCCTCCGGGTCACGGCTAGTGGTGGTGGGGTGGGGGTGACTCGCAGGAAGGACGGTTGCCGTGGGTTTGGCGCGGACCTTTTTTTGTGTGTTTTTTGGACACAAGAGTCCCTCGCTCCGGGCTGGAGTGAGCGCCGTGGCGTCGGCCTCGCTCACAGCAGCCTCCAGCGAGCCTCCTGCCTCGGCCTCCCTCCCCTGAGGAGCTGGGACGACAGGCGTGTGCCACCACGCCCGGCTCGTTTTTTTTCTATATTTTTTTACTTGGCCAATTAATTTCTATTTTTTAGTAGAGACGGGATCTCGCTCTTGCTCAGGCTGGTCTTGAACTCCTGACCTTGAGCGATCCTCCCTCCTCGGCCTCCCTCCCGAGTAGCTGGGACGACAGGCGCGAGCCACCACGTGCCCGGTTCATTTTTTTCTATATATTTTTAGTTGTTCTATTAATTTTTTTTTTTTTTTAGTGTAGATGGGGTTTGGCTCTTGCTCAGGCTGGTCTCGGACTCCTGACCTTGAGCCGATCCTCCCGCCTCGGCCTCCCTCCCGAGTAGCTGGGACTACAGGCATGCGCCTCCACGCCCGGCTCATTTTTTTCTATATATATATTATTTTTTACTTGGCCAATTAATCTCTATTTTTATGTAGAGACGGGGTCTCGCTCTTGCTCAGGCTGGCCTCGACCTCCCGGCCTCGAGCGATCCTCCCGCCTCGGCCTCTCTCTCCCGAGTAGCTGGGACTCCAGGCGTGCGCCACCACGTGCCCGGCTCGTTTTTTTTTTTCCATATATATTTTCAGTTGTCCAGCTCATTTCTTTCTATTTTTTTACCAGAGACGGGGTCTCGCTCCTTCTATGCGTTGTTTTAGTCGTCCAGCTCATTTCGTTGTATTTTTTTTTCTATTAGAAAAAGCTCAGGCCTGGCCTCCACCTCCCGACCTCCAGCGATCCTCCCTCCTCGGCCTCCTCCCGGAGCGCCGGGACGACAGGCCTCGTGAGCCTCCGCGTTTCGTTCTGTCTAAACGGAGGCGTCCGGCCGGGCCGAGCCTGGGGTCGGCAGGGCCACGTGTGGTCCCCGTCCCCGTTCCGTGCAAACCCCCCCCTCTCCCTCTCCCTCTCCGATCGCTCGCCCCGTTGTCTCACGGCTCATTTCTTTGCAGGCCTGCCGTCCTCCTTCGGATATTAAGAGCGGAAACCGCGTCTTGGCCCCTCTGTCCCCGTGTCCCCGTCTCTTTGAGGCACCCCGAAAAGAGTTTCAGAGAAACAAAGGAAAGATTGGCCGGGCGCGACGGCGCACGCCTGTCGTCCCAGCTGCTCGGGAGGGAGGGAGGCCGAGGAGGGAGGCTCGCTCGAGGCCGGCCTGAGCAAGAGCGAGATCCACCCCCATCCATCTACACTAAAAAAAAGAAAAAGAAAAAAAGAAATAAATTAATAGAACAAATAAAAATATATAGAAGGAAAAAATAGTGAGCCGGGCGTGGTGGTGCATGCCTGTCGTCCCAGCTGCTCGGGAGGGAGGCCGAGGAGGGAGGCTCGCTGGAGGCCGGCCTGAGCAAGAGCGAGATCCACCCCCATCCATCTACACTAAAAAAGAAAAAAAGAAATAAATTAATAGAACAAATAAAAATATATAGAAAGAAAGCGAGCCGGGCGCGACGGTGCACGCCTGCTGTCCCAGCTGCTCGGGAGGGAGGAGGCCGAGGAGGGAGGCTCGCTCGAGGCCGGCCTGAGCAAGAGCGAGACCCACCCCCCATCTACACTAAAAAAAAAAAATAGAAATAAATAAATAAAACAACTAAAAATATATAGAAGAAAAAAAAAGTGAGCCGGGCGTGGTGGTGCATGCCTGTCGTCCCAGCTGCTCGGGAGGGAGGCCGAGGAGGGAGGCTCGCTCGAGGCCGGCCTGAGCAAGAGTGAGACCCACCCCCATCTACACTAAAAAAAAAAAAAGGAAAAAAAAATAGAAATAAATTAATAGGACAACTAAATATATATATATAGAAAAAAACAAAAACGAGCCGGGCGTGGGGGCGCATGCATGCCTGTTGTCCAAGCTACTCGGGAGGCCGGAGGCCGAGGAGGGAGGATCGCTTCAGCCTCGAAAGTCGGAGGCTGCCGTGAGCGAGGCCGACGCCACGGTGCTCACTCTAGGCCGGGGCGACAGAGCGAGACTGTGTTTTATTTTTTTTATTTTTTATTTTTTTTGAGACAGAGTCTCACTTTGTTGCCCAGGCTAGAGTGAGTGCCGTGGCGTCAGCCTCGCTCACAGCAACCTCAAACTCCGGGGCTCAAGCAATCCTCCTGCCTCGGCCTCCCTCCCGAGTAGCTGGGACTACAGGCATGCGCCACCACGCCCGGCTCGTTTTTTGTATATATATTTTTAGTTGGCCGATTAATTTATTTCTATTTTTAGTAGAGACGGGGTCTCGCTCTCACTCAGGCTGGTCTCGAACTGCTGACCTCGAGCGATCCTCCCGCCTCGGCCTCCCAGAGTGCTGGGATTACAGGCGTGAGCCTCCGCGCCCGGCCGAGACTGTGTCTTTTAAAGAAAAAGAATAAAGGGGGACGGGGAGGGGGGAGAGAAATGGGCATTTATTGAAACCTTAAAATCTGAGTCCCCATAAGATTGCTGAAATATAACAAAAAAATAAAAAAAAATAGCTGGGCGCGGAGGCTCAGGCCTCTCATCCCAGCACTCTGGGAGGCCGAGGCGGGAGGATCGCTCGAGGTCAAGAGTGTTCGAGGCCAGCCTGAGCAAGAGCGAGACCCTCGTCTCTACTATAAATAAAAGGAAATTAATTGGCCAACTAATATATATATAGAAAAAATGAGCCGGGCGTGGTGGCGCACGCCTGGAGTCCCAGCTACTTGGGAGGGAGGCCGAGGAGGGAGGCTCGCTGGAGGCCAGGAGTCGGAGGCTGCCGTGAGCGAGGCTGACGCCGCCACGGCCCTCACTCCAGCCCGGGCGACGGAGCGAGACTCTGTCTCAAAAAAAATAAAAAATAAAAATAAAAAAATAGGCCGGGCGCTGTGGCTCACGCCTGTAATCCTAGCTCTTGGGAGGCCGAGGCGGGCGGATTGCTCGAGGTCAGGAGTTCGAAACCAGCCTGAAGACCCCGTCTCTACCATAAATAGAAAGAAACTAATTGGCCAACTAATATATATAGAAAAAATCAGCCGGGCATGGTGGCGCATGCCTGTAGTCCCAGCTACTCGGGAGGCTGAGGCAGAAGGATTGCTTGAGCCCAGGAGTTTGAGGTTGCTGTGAGCGAGGCTGACGCCACGGCACTCACTCTAGCCTGAACGACAAAGTGAGACTCTGTCTCAAAAAAAAAAAAAATAAAAATTAAAAAAAAAAATAAAATAAAAATTAAAAAAAATAGAAAAAAAAAATAGAAAAAGAAAATATAAAGGGAGACGCCGGGAGACCAGGGCGCGCCGTCTGTTTGTCCCCCCCCCCCAGGCCGTCACTATGGGGCCGTCAGCTGCGAGGGGTGCAAGGGTTTCTTCAAGAGGAGCGTGAGGAAGAGCCTGACCTACAGCTGCCGCAGCAGCCAGGACTGCGTCATCAACAAGCACCACCGGAACCGCTGCCAGTTCTGCCGGCTGAAGAAATGCCTGGAAATGGGCATGAAGATGGAGTGTGAGTGGGGGAGCCGGGAGACCCACCGGGGAGGGGGCGGGGGAGGGGAGCGGGGGGGCCGGCACTCTGGGAGGCCGGGGAGGGAGGATCGGCCCGAGGTCGGGAGGTGGAGGCCGGTTTTGAGCAAGAACGAGACCCCGTCTCTACTAGGGAAAAAAAATGGAAAGAAATGAGCTGGACGACTAAAAATATATACAGAAAAAAAATGAGCCGGGCGTGGTGGCGCATGCCTGTGGTCCCAGCTACTTGGGAGGGAGGCTGAGGAGGGAGGATCGCTCGAGGTCGGGAGGTCGAGGCCGGCCTGAGCAAGAGCGAGACCCCGTCTCTACTAGGAAAAAAAAATTAGAAAGAAATGAGCTGGATGGCTAAAAATATATAGAAAAGATTAGCAGCGTGCCTGTGGTTTCTAGCTGCTCGGGAGGGAGGCTGAGGAGGGAGGATCGCTAGAGGTCGGGAGGTGGAGGCCGGTTTTGAGCAAGAGCGAGACCCCGTCTCTACTAGGGAAAAAAAAAATTAGAAAGAAATGAGCTGGACGGCTAAAAATATACAGGAAAATTTGGGAGTCACAGCCACTCGGGAGGCCGAGGCAGGAGGACCACTCGAGGTCAGGAGGTGGAGGCCGGCCTGAGCAAGAGCGAGACCCCGTCTCTACTAGGAAAAAAAAAATTAGAAAGAAATGAGCTGGACGGCTAAAAATATATAGAAAAGATTAGCAGCGTGCCTGTGGTTTCTAGCTACTCCAGGAGGGAGGCCGGGGAGGGAGGATCGGCTCGAGGTCGGGAGGTGGAGGCCGGTTTTGAGCAAGAGCGAGACCCCGGCTCTACTAGAGAAAAAAAAAATTAGAAAGAAATGAGCTGGACGAGTAAAAATATACAGGAAAAATTGGGAGTCACAGCCACTTGGGAGGCCGAGGCAGGAGGACCACTCGAAGTCAGGAGGTGGAGGCCGGCCTGAGCAAGAGCGAGACCCCGTCTCTACTAGAAAAAAAAAAGAAATGAGCTGGACGAGTAAAAATATACAGGAAAAATTGGGAGTCACAGCCACTTGGGAGGCCGAGGCAGGAGGACCACTCGAAGTCAGGAGGTGGAGGCCGGCCTGAGCAAGAGCGAGACCCCGTCTCTACTAGAAAAAAAAAATTAGAAAGAAATGAGCCGGACGGCTAAAAATATATAGAAAAGATTAGGAGTGTGCCTGTGGTTTCTAGCTACTCGGGAGGGAGGCTGAGGAGGGAGGATCGGCCCGAGGTCGGGAGGTGGAGGCCGGTTTTGAGCAAGAGCGAGACCCCGTCTCTACTAGGGAAAAAAAATTAGAAAGAAATGAGCTGGACGAGTAAAAATATACAGGAAAAATTGGGAGTCCCAGCCACTCGGGAGGCCGAGGCAGGAGGACCACTCGAGGTCGGGAGGTGGAGGCCGGCCTGAACAAGACCGAGACCCCGTCTCTACTAGGAAAAAAAAAAAATTAGAAAGAAATGAGCTGGACGGCTAAAAATATATAGAAAAGATTAGCAGCGTGCCTGTGGTTTCTAGCTGCTCGGGAGGGAGGCTGAGGAGGGAGGATCGCTCGAGGTCGGGAGGTGGAGGCCGGTTTTGAGCAAGAGCGAGACCCCGTCTCTACTAGGGAAAAAAAATTAGAAAGAAATGAGCTGGACAGCTAAAAATATATAGAAAAGATTAGCAGCGTGCCTGTGGTTTCTAGCTACTCGGGAGGGAGGCTGAGGAGGGAGGATCGCTAGAGGTCGGGAGGTGGAGGCTGGCTTGAGCAAGAGCGAGACCCCGTCTCTACTAGGAAAAAAAAAAATTAGAAAGAAATGAGCTGGACTGCTAAAAATATATAGAAAAGATTAGCAGCGTGCCTGTGGTTTCTAGCTACTCGGGAGGGAGGCTGAGGAGGGAGGATCGCTCGAGGTCGGGAGGTGGAGGCCAGCCTGAGCAAGAGCGAGACCCCGTCTCTACTAGGGAAAAAAAATGGAAAGAAATGAGCTGGACGACTAAAAATATATAGAGAAAAAAGCGAGCCGGGCGTGGTGGCGTGTGCCTGTAGCCCCAGCTACTCCAGGAGGGAGGCTGAGGAGGGAGGATCGCTCGAGGTCGGGGTCGGGAGGTGGAGTCCAGCTTGAGCAAGGGCGAGACCCCGTCTCTACTAGAAAAAAAAAATTAGAAAGAAATGAGCTGGACGACTAAAAATATACAGGAAAAATTGGGAGTCACAGCCACTCGGGAGGCCGAGGCAGGAGGACCACTCGAAGTCAGGAGGTCGAGGCCGGCCTGAGCAAGAGCGAGACCCCGTCTCTACTAGAAAAAGAAAAAATTAGAAAGAAATGAGCTGGACGACTAAAAATATATACAGAAAAAAAATGAGCCGGGCGTGGTGGCGCATGCCTGTGGTCCCAGCTACTCCGGGAGGGAGGCTGAGGAGGGAGGCTCGCTGGAGGCCAGGAGTCGGAGGCTGCTGTGAGCTAGGCCGAGGCCACGGCACTCACTCCAGCCCGGGCGACAGAGCCAGACTCTGTCTCGAAAAATAAATAAATAAACAAACAAACAAACAAACAAATAAGTTAGGAAGGAAGGAAGGAAGGAAGGAAGGAAGGAATTAGTAAGTAAAGAAGTAAGTTAGCAAGTAGGGAAGGAAGTTAGGAAGGAAGGAGGGAAGGAAGTTAGCAACTAAGTAAGGAAGGAAGGAAGTTAGTAAGGAAGGCATTAAGTTAGTAAACAAATTAGTAAGTGAGTATGTAAGGACGGAAGCAACTTAGTAAATAAGGAAGGAAGGAAGTTGGGAAGGAAGGAGGGAGGGAAGTTAGTAAGTAAGGAAGGAAGTTAGTAACTAAATAAGTGAGCAAGGAAGAAAGTTAGTATCTAAGTAAGCAAGGAAGGAAGGAAGTTAGTGAATAAGTAAGGAAGTTAGTAAGTTAGGAAGGAGGGAAGGAAGTTAGGAAGAAGGAAGGTAGTAAGCAAGTTAGGAAGGAAGGAAAGAAGTTAGTAACTAAGTAAGTTAGTAAACAAGGAAGGAACTTAGTAACTAAGCAAGCAAGCAAGGAAGGAAGTTAGTAACTAAGGAAGGAAGTTAGCAAATAAGGAAGGAAGTTAGGAAGGAAGGAAGTTAGGAAGGAAGGAGTGAAGGAAGTTAGGAAGTTAGTAAGGAAGGAAGTTAGGAAGGAAGGAAGGAAGGAAGTTAGGAAGGAAGGAAGGAGTGAAGGAAGTTAGTAAGGAAGGAAGGAGTGAAGGAAGTTAGGAAGTTAGTAAGGAAGGAAGGAAGGAAGTTAGGAAGTTAGGAAGGAGTGAAGGAAGTTAGTAAGGAAGGAAGGAGTGAAGGAAGTTAGGAAGTTAGTAAGGAAGGAAGGA